ATACAACACTACCAAAATGGCACCATTGAAGAAGCAACCAACCCCGAAGCCCCTACCAAATCCCCCAGATGTAGACATCGATTTGCTCAACCAAGGTAGAGCCTTTAATTTTCCTCCCTATTACATGTATTGTTTCTTTTGCTATAACCTGTGGTCTGTGTTCAAGTGCCGTTGCTAAATTTTAGTGTCCCGATAGGTATTACGGGCAAATCGCTCAGAGTTAAGTGAAGTTTATCTAAATATATAAAAAGTCACTCACATTTCTTCACTACCTTTGTCACCTTTTCAAATTTACATGGATGCAGTGACTCTGTCCCACGACACAACTCCAGCCTCCTCGGTCCCCTCGACTTCTTCAAATGCTTCGTGCACAGAAGGTATGGATCAGTATATTCTACTGTAATTACGGGACTGCGTTGTAGCGTAAAATATTGGAGTATAAAATAGCAACTTGTTCAGATATTTACTCATCCTACTGAAGTTATGAATCTGCAAACCTGAATACTTGTGAGAATTTATCAGAAAGGGTTGAAATGACATGCAAAAATACCAATAGACATTATGCTGACCGTTTCATAAACAATTGATTAAAAACAGTTGTCAGTGGAATCTATCAATGTCTGTTGTATGCAAGAGAAGATATTTATTGTGATTTTTCTCTCTTCTTTTGTCCAGGATCCTGTCGGAGATGACGCGGACAATGAATGAATGACAGCACTGCATCCTCTGTTGGAAAACTATACTGTCCGTAGTTTTTCTCACATAATTGATATCCTCAGCCTTTGTAAAATAAGTTATTTTGGCACTTTAACACACAGGTCCACACATGAATCTAGTTCACTTTGTACGTATCACAAAAAAGAACAAAATCAGGCCGTTGCTGAATGCTTTTCCGTTATTTTCTGTGCGTACTTTGCCCCCAGTTCATAACTTTCACAAAAGATTGCAAACCAAATATTTTCTGGGGAACCTGAAAAATTCCATCAAATAATCACGATTTGATGTTTTAATGTTTCTATACCACCAGCCGTCGAATTAAGGATGTAATTAACTACCATTTCCAACATTGTCGTTTAGAATGGAAAATGACACGGAATATGTATGTGTTGCTGTAATTTTTTTTCAATTATAGGCCCACAAAATCACAAATGACGTGACATCACTAAAATTTAGTTCCCCGGTTTCACTTTGTAATGGTATCGACTGTCAAAGTTTTGGATCCAT